ATTTGGAATCATTTGTGATGAAGTTAAGATGAAAATACTAAATACGTGAATTCTCTTTGTCCTACAATATTCCTTTGTTCATTGGGAAGGCATGAAATCGTATGATAAAATCTATTTCGATAAATGTATCCTTATGAATATCTGCTTATTCGTTTCTAGGTTTGTGATTTACTCAAATCAGCTCTAGACTTATCTACAAGCAAATCGAGGTTTGCTGTATTTCCTTTATTGTGACAAATAAAATCAGTTCTACAGATTAGATCTCAGGACCTAAAATCTTGCATTAACACACATTAGCAGTATCCTTTGCTTGAACGAGTGGAACATTTTCGATAATCATGAAACAAAGCATTTTGTAACTTAGAGATGTCATGCATGGGTCTCAGCTAAGGGTTATAATTTTAAATACCGTATGAACTATCAGTCCTTAACTGAAATTTTTACTGATTAATTATTCAGTGGCGACCTCATGGAATATCAGGAAAGGGCATCCTTGCATGTCTCAGATTTGATACACAAGATTGATCATAGACCATTTCATATAAGCAGTATTGACAGGAGAGGCACCTATGGTTTAGCAATGGCCTAAATACAGTGCGGAAGGAGTTTCTGTACTCTCCAGAAACTTCCCGGTAAGTACCAGCACAATAATGGTATAAATAAAATGTTTATGAATTAATGCCCCTTGATTGTATTATGTTAGTGGAGAAGTTTCAAGGTCAGATTTTCCTTTTTTATGTATATATATATAAATAAATAGATAAGTATAAGTAGAGTTATCAGTCTGGTAAGTTGAAACTCACATTTTAGGAATAAAAATCATATAATAAAGATTAAAGATATTCGAGATATTTTCATGAATGAAGGGAGTTGGCAGACAAACTGATATGTTTAGCTTCTAATATAACATTCTCTGTACCTTTCAAGTGTTTCTCAAAAATGACAGGGCGACATACATATTTACATTTCGTCTGTTGGTCGGTTAGTCGATAACATATTCATAAATTAACATATCAGTTTCAAACAATAACTTATACTATCAATCAATATCTATCTATCTATCCACATATATGATATATAATGACATCACTAAGCACTCGTTTACTAGGAAGAGAGAGGAGGATAGAGAGAAGTAGAGATAAATAAACAACATAACCGTAAAATTTCCATCAATCACACGTACAGTAAATACATTGAGCATTATAGAAAGAGCACTTAACACATATTTCCCAGAAATATTATTTTTGTTTAATGTGAATTAATATATTTCAGTGAAATATGTGTTACACATATTCCCCCTGATATTATATTTTTTGTTTTAATGTGAAATTTAATATAATTTCAGTGAAATGGACATTTTATATATTTGAGAAACAGGTCGGCAGTATCTCTAAATTTGTTTTTGTTTTGAAAAACAATCCTAACAGGAAGGAACAATCCTTGTGACCGAATTCGGGTTACAACTATGGGCTTATGAACCACTATTGACAAATCAAACAGGTCCAGAGAATGTCACTTGCTGAGTATGTAAACCAGTGCCTGCCACTCTGGGTACCGTGGCACCCTGGGGTGCCATGGGTAGTATCTAAGGATGACACAAGTTTCATATATCATACATCTAAGGAATTAGGTAGATTTATAGCATTCTACATAAATATTACCATAAACTACTCGGTTACACTACATTCTACACGTAATTCAACTTTATATATATAATTCATAATGAATCGTAATATACACATTACTAAAAATGATTAATTTACGAAAGTTGTGGGGAGGAGCAAAGAAGACAATGGCGCAAAGAGTACTTATGTCTAGGGTGTTATCACCGAAAAAGGTATCTATATCTATCTGCATATCTGTGTATGTATGTATATGTATAAATAGAATCACATACATATATATCACTATCGACACACATATATGAATGCATAAACAAACACATGCACATATATGTGTGTGTGTGCATATACACACAAAAGTACATACATGTAAATGTATATATGTATATACATATATATGCGTGTGCATTCATATGTGCATGAATCTAATTGCATCAGGACATATACTACTATCTATCAGCCGATCCACCTATCCAGGTGTTCTCCTGCAAGCACTTAGGCCTATCGGGAAAATAATCGGCGAGGAAGCCACGCCCCCTGAAGGCCACGTCAGACTCCATATATAAGGAGGCTTCGCAAGCAATCCGCAGAGACGACCCGTCCTCAGTGAGCCTCCGACAGGACCAGCCATGAAGTTCGCGGTAAGCACGGATAAACACAGATAGTATATATATATATATATATATATATATATATATATATATATATATATATATATATATATATATATATATATATATATATATATATGTATGAAGGGAAATTTATTCATAGATGTATATATATGTATATATGTAAACACGCACAAGCATATATATGTGTGGAAATTTAAGTAGATGTATTATAACTCTCGCACAAAAGTCTTATGAAGCTAATAATCTAATGTAAATCTAAAAATAGTAAATGTAACGTCCTAATTTAATAAAGCAGCCTTCAGTTTAGTATTGCAATTATGGAGATGGACGATTTTTTATGAGAAAAGTGAAAAATACTAATTCTACGAACTCCCTTGCCTTATTACAGGTAGCTGTACTGGTGTGTTTGGCAGCGGCTGTGGTTGCGCACGCCGATCCCGAACCACACTACTTCCGCTCTCCTTACTATTACTACCCTCACTATTACTATCCCCGTCACCATCACCTAGAGCCTCTGAAGGGCGATGGAGTGGCCAGGCATCCTGGTGGCGGCACCTCCTTCGTGGCTCCTCGAGTTCACGGTCTGAAAAAGCGCTCAGCTGACCCCATGCCGGACGCTGACCCTCAACCAGCAGCTGATCCTGAACCAGTAGCTGACCCTGATCCCTCCAACAGCTATAGTTATCAGGTAGTCCATCATGGCCATCCTCACTACGGCTACACCATGGCTATCGCTACCCCTACTATGGCTACCGTTACAGCCATCACTATGGCTACCCTTACACCTACCACAAGCACCACAAGAGATCAGCCGACCCTGAACCCGAAGCTGAACCTCACTACAGATATTACGGACACCCTCACTACTACAAAGGATATTATCACGGTTATCCTTACTCCTATCCTTACTACGCCGGTTACCGCTACCGCTACAGGGGATAAGGAAGGGGTCAGGCATGGATTACGACAGGCCTTGTGGCGATGGTCCTTCACCAGATGTGTCTGATAGTCCGGTTTGCTCACGCCGGTTTTTCAGGCACAGGCAGGGTGGTGATCACGTTTCGAAGACAAAACTGAGGGAATATCTCTGCAAAATTGGTATTTGGAATCATTAGTGTGAAGATTAAAGGTGATAATAGAAATACGTGAATTTCTTTGTCCTACAACATTCCTTCGTTCTTTTGGAAAACAAAATCGTATGATAAAATCTACTTAGATAAATATACCCTTATGAATATCTGCTTATCTGTTAGGTTTGTGATTTAGTCAACTCTAGATTTATCTACAAGCAAATCGAGGTTTGCTGTATTTCCTTTATTGTGACAAATAAAATCAGTTCTAGAGATAAGATCTCGGGACCTAAAGTCTTGCTCTAACACATATTAGCAGTATCCTTTGCTTCAGGGGGTGGAACATTTTTGATAATCATGAAACAAAGCATTTTGCAACTTATAGATCCCATGCATGCGTCTGGGCTAAGAGCCATGAATCTAGATACCATCTGAACTATGAATTGGTTAACTGAAGTATACTGATGAATTCTTCAAATCCTTCAGTGGCGACCTCATGGAATATCAGGAAATGCCATCCTAGTATGTGTCAGATTTCATACGTAAGATTAATCATAGACTCATATAAACAGCACTGAACAGGAGAGGCACCTCTGGTTTAGCAATGGCCAAAGTACAGTGCGGAAGGAGTTTCTGTACTCCCTCCAGAAAACTGATCCGCTAAGTGCCATCACAGTAATAGGAAATAAGCTGTTTATGAATGAATGCCTCTTGATGTGTTTGATTAATGGAGAAGTTTCAAGGTCAGATTTCACAGAAAAAAATGTATATATACTATAACAAAGATTAAAGTCATAACAGATTATCAGTCTGGTAAGTTGAATCCACGTTTTAGGAATAAAATCATGATAAAACAAGATGAAGATAATCGAGACATATTCATGAAGAAGTGAAGGGAAGGTTGACAGACAAACTGATATTGTTTAGCTTTTAATATACATTCTCTGTACCCTTTCAAGTGTTTATGAAAGTACATACATGCCTATATATATATATATATATATATATATATATATATATATATATATATGTATGTATATTTCAAGTGTTTATGAAAAATGACAGAGCGACATACATATTTACATTTCGTCTGTCGGTCGGTTAGTCGATACCATATTCGGAAATTAACATATCAATTTCAAACAATTACTTATACTATCAATCAATATCTATCTATCTATCCACATATATGATATATAATGACATTACTAAGCACCCTTTTACTAGGAGAGAGAGAGAGAGAGAGGGAGAAGATAAACAACATAACCGTAAAATTTCCATCAATCACACGTACAGTAAATACATTGAACATTATGGAAAGAGCAGTAACACATATTTCCAGAAATATTATTTTTGTTTAATGTGAATGAATATATTTCACTGAAATGGACATTTGTATGAGAAACAGGTAGCGAAATTCGGCAGTATCTCTAAATTTGTTTTTGTTTTGAAAAACAATCCTAACAGGAAGGAACAATCCTTGTGACTTAATTCGGGTTACAACTATGGGTTTATGAACCACTGTTGATAAATTGAACATTGTATACATGCATGCATATATACATATATATGTATGTATGTATGTATGTATATTTATATGTCTGTGTGTATGTGTGCGTGTACATATATACTATATATATATATATATATATATATATATATATATATATATATATATATATATATATATATATATATATATATATATATATATATATATATATATATATATATATATATATATATATATATATATATATATATATATATATATGTATATATGTATATATACCATATACATATATATTATATATGTGTGTGCATACACACACACACACAATGTGTGTGTATGTGTATGTGTGTATATGCATATACATACAGACACACATATATTTATAAATATATGTCTATATTTTATATATTCATGTAAGACACACACACAATAAGAAACACATAAGCACACATAAACGCACACACACATACATGTATATGCTATATATATATATATATATATATATATATATATATATATATATATATATATATATATATATGTATATATGTATGTATATGTATATACATATAAGAGCATGTATATGTATATACATGTATCTGTGTATATATAGGATTATATATATTCATAGATACATACATATATAAATGCATATATATGTGTGTGTGTGTGTGTGTCTGTGTGTGTGTATGTATGTGTATGTGAGTCTGTGAATATATATATTCATAGATACATACATGTAAATGCATGCATATATATATATATATATATATATATATATATATATATATATATATATATATATATATATATATATATATATGTATGTATGTATGTATGTATGTATGTATGTATAATGTATATATACATATGATATGTATATATATATATATATATATATATATATATATATATATATATATATATATATATATATATGTGTGTGTGTGTGTGCATGTGTGTGTGTGTGTGTGTGTGTGTGTGTGTGTGTGTGTATGTGTGTGTGTGTGTGTGTGTGTGTGTGTGTGTGTGTGTGTGTGTGTGTGTGTGTGTGTGTGTGTGTGATATATACACATATATAAAATAATATATATATGTATGTGCACTGTTACACACACAACACACACACACACACACACACACACACACACACACACACACACACACACACACACACACACACACACACACACATATATATATATATATATATATATATATATATATATATATATATATATATATATATATATACAGTGGAACTTCTTATAAGAGGCACTTCCTGGACTTGGAAGCTTTCTAATAGGCCGACGCTCATGTAATTTCTTATTAACGGAACTTCCTGGACCGAGCACTTCCCGTCTCCGACAATTGGCAGCCAAATCCCGGTCCCGATTAGGCAATCAGCTTCCCGAAGTCGGCACTCTTGGGCGGGCCCCTTGAGGTGCCAACAAGAACACTGTATATATATATATATATATATATATATATATATATATAATATATATATATATATATGTCGGCACTCTTGGGCGGGCCCCTTGAGGTGCCAAATCCAAGAAGCTCCACTGTATATATATATGTATACCATTTATTATTGTACGCCTATGTCTGTGTGTATGTATACATAGGTATACATACACATACATACACAGTGTATGTATGTGTGTCAGTGTGTATGTGTATAAAGATTGATAGATATAGATACATACACATATATATGTTTATATAGATAGCTGTATATCTATAACACATGTGTGTGTATCTATGTATATTACATATATAAATATGTATGCATTTGTATATATGTATTTATTTAAGTGTGTATATAGACACATGCATATATATACATATATATACATATATATGTGTATATATGTGCGTGCCTGTGTGTGAGCGTGTGTGTATGTGTGTGTACATGTTTATATGTTCATGTATGTATACACACAAACTCAAACACACATAAACACACATATAATCATATTTACATACACCTATGTATTTTTGCATATGTATATATACATGTGTGTGTGTATGCATGCGTATGAATGAACACATAAATCAGATATTGGCATATGTGTGTATTACTCGGGTAGGAAGTATACCACCACTTTGTGCGATAAACTGCACCCCACAGCAGAGACAGAGATATGATATACACAAATGCATTTGTGAATAAGCAAAAGAGAGCACTCGTCTTTGACAGACTGAGGAAATACAGTTTTAATGGCTGTTCCCTTAGGGTGCGTGAACCCCTGCTTGTCCAAGGCCACGCACAGGAGCCGTATATAAAGCGGCTTCCACAAGCAGTCAGCAGACACAGCGTCCTCGGTGAGCCAAGAAGAGGTCCAGCCATGAAGCTTACGGTGAGTCGCCATAGATGTTAGCGAACGAAAACTTTATTAATACTTGAGCGTACATATACATACATAATCCCAGACAGAAATCCCACACGTATGTATAACATAGATAGATAGATATTTGTCTGTACATCTGTACATCTATCTGTCTATATATACATACATATATATTTTTTTTCTTACACTTTAACTTCTATTTAAAGAAATGGATTTCTAAAAGACAATTATTACTATCTTTGAAATAGGCATGTATCAGCTTGACTGATTCATGTAGACTCAGATCAGACAAAACTGAGTAATCATCGTTGATTTACTGAATAGAGCAAAAGAAACATAATTCCAAGAGAAAACAAAATGTATTCCTATGATAGTTGAAATTTATAAAAGTATATTTTCCAGGCAATCGTACTGGTGTGTTTGGCAGCGGCCGTGGTAACACACGCCGATCCCGAGCCACACAAGTACCACCACTACCCCTACCACCACTACTCCTACCACCAATACCCCTACCATCACTACTCTCCTCGCCACCACTATGTCAAGCATCCGGCTGCCGGCACCTACTCCGTCAGCACTCAAGTCCATGGCCTCACCAAACGCTCAGCTGACCCCACGCCGGAAGCTGACCCTCAACCAGTAGCCCACCAGTAGCTGACCCTGATCCATCCAACAGCTATAGTTACCAGGTAGTCCACCATGGCCATCCTCGCTATGGATACCACCATGGCTATCGCTACCCTTACAATAACTACCGCTACAGCCACTACTATGGTTATCCTCACACATACCACAGCCACCACAAGAGATCAGTCGAATCGGAACCCGAACCTCAACCTCATTACAGCTATCACGGACGCCCTCACTACTACAACAGATACTATCACGGTTACCCCCACTACTATCCTTACTACGCCGGTTACCGCTACCGCTACAGGGGATAAGGAAGGGGTCAGGCATGGATTACGACAGGCCTTGTGGCGATGGTCCTTCACCAGATGTGTCTGATAGTCCGGTTTGCTCACGCCGGTTTTTCAGGCACTGATAGTAAGGTGGTCACTCTTAGGAGGCCACAGAAAACAGAGGAATTCTCTTTTCAATG